AGGCGCCGATTCCAATCAATTCTGCTTTGAATTCATTCAAGAAATATAAGTTAAATGTAGAGTAAAAATGATGAGAGAATTAATTCTCATTTATATATGTTTTCCCATTGTATTGTAGACATAGATATATAAAAATTATTTCCATATTAAAAAACATATTACATATGTTTTAATATTAAACGAGAATATTGATTTGATAATTGTTTCTATACTTTACTTTTATTGTACAAACAAAATAGGGACTACTTTTAACTAAAATATTTTATTTATTTTTATCTATTTTTGTTTGTTTTGATATTCAAAGTAAAATTATTGAAAATAAAATTGATTTTTGGGACATTATATAAAATAACAATAACTCACAAAAATATGAGTTTAATATTTTTATAGTTTTAATTTAAGAGATGAATGCCTTATAAAACAGTTTACTTTTAAAATATTCTGCAAATTAATGCAATTTTAACATTGTAGTAATTGACCAAGATCAACTTTCAACATATTTAAATATTTATAACTTAGTTATTATACTGGAAAATAATTTATTAAAATTCTAGCAAACTATACATGCATTTATAGCAATTTACTGAATATTTTACGTGAAACCTTTCAGAAAATAAATTATTGCTAAATCTCTAGATAACTAAAATAATTCCTACAGTTTTATTTTTCTTACATAAAATACAATTCATACTTTTATTAAACATTAACTACTTATGATATACTTATGACATGTTTAAATAATTATTCTATGCCTACACTCCAACCCATACCCCACAAAAACATCCCACACACATTGTTGCTGTAGAAATGCTATGAGAAAATTACAACTTTATAGGTCTATTAATTTATTTGAAATCAACAAATCGTAATTTTATACTAAATAATATGATTTAACTTAAATTTATTGGTACATACAATTGCATACCGGTATCATATATGATTTAAAATTAACATTTAATATAGAAATACATGCACATGTAGACTCTACATGTAGACATTGGTTTCTATTATGTGATACAAAACAAATGTTTGATTAAAAACATTATTTGATTTAAAAATATTAAATATTAACTAATTTATTCATTAATCTCTGAATATAATAGCTAGGTATAATAGCTATGGTATGTTAGGTTAGGTTAGGTTGGGATAGAAAAACTTATGAATTCCTGTTTGATAGCACATACTTAGTGTACGGCCCACACACACACACAGCACTTGTGTTGGTAGCCATGGGAACGACAAACAGGTATTGACTTCCCTTTCCTCTGTGGCTGAAGTGATCAGCAAAGCGTGTGTTCACTAAATCATCACTTAATTGGTCCCAAATCAGTGACACTAACCGGCAGTCACACAACACTCCCACACAATGGGTGCCTATAAGTACATCCAAGAGATCTGGCGCCACAAGCAGTCGGATGTGATGCGATTCCTCCTACGGCTGAGGTGTTGGCAATACAGACAGCTTAATGTCATCCATCGGTGTCCCCGTCCGACCCGCACAGAGAAGGCCAGACGTCTTGGATATCGAGCCAAACAGGGATTCGTTGTCTACAGAGTCCGCATCAGACGCGGTGGCCGTAAGAAGCAGGTGCCCAAAGGTAGGACCCATTCCGAGCCAGTTGGCTATCACTGTCATGTGTCCATTGATGCTGATTGTCGTGTTTGTTGTGTTTGCGACCATTAGGTGCCACTTATGGTAAGCCTAAGAACCACGGCGTGAATGAACTGAAGCCGCGCCGCAACCATCAGGCGATCGCCGAAGAGCGGGTCGGCCGACGAGTGGCTAAAGCGCTGCGAGTGTTGGGCTCGTATTGGGTGACACAGGACTCGTGCTTCAAATACTTCGAGGTATGGATTGTGGTGTCCATGTCTTGGGATCTATTGTCGTGACTAACGGTATTGACGTTTAGGTGATTTGTATCGATCCGTTCCACAAAGCGATCCGAAGAGACCCGAAAGTGAATTGGATTTGTGCGCCGACACAGAAGCACCGGGAGCTTAGAGGCCTGACCAGCGCTGGTAAGAAACATAGGGGTCTGAGAGGACGCGGACACGGCTATAGCAAAGTGATCGGTGGCTCACGTCGTGCTAATTGGCGCCGAAGACAGACATTACAGTTGCGCCGAAAGCGATAATCAATTGATCACTTGTTTGAGACTCTGATTCGTAACTGTATTTCAAAACCAGAAATTAATAATAAAATTAACTTTCACTTTGATTTAGTCATTGCTTTTACTTTTCATTTAATGCATTGGGATTACAGTTATATTACCGTATGTTTTAATGCCTAATCTCGAGGTAATAATAATTCAATGAAATGTCGTTAGAAATGACAGTCATTTAAATTTGGGCTCAATTTGTAAAACAGTTTGTGTTGAATTAATACAATTGTTTGCATTTAATTGATACAAAGTCGTGAGTATTATCTGAAGAGATGTTTAATTGGTTAACGGGTAGCGATAACGCAGACAATAACAGCAATAATAATAATAACAATCAGAATAACAACAGAAGAAACTCATCGGCGGTTCCGGCGACACAAGTGGTGAAGAGGAAGACGACGAAGACTGGAATGACTGCCAGTAAACAGAAGAATAAGAGACTGAAGACCAGGAAAGAGATCGAGAAAATGAAGTCAAAACTTCCGAAAGACTTCCAAATGATCTCTGAGGGCACGTTCGCAGAGATGTCCAAAATCACGGATCAAGTGTTTCTGACCGGCATTTTCGGGCTCTCGAGAGAGAACTTCTCTAACAATAACATAACGAACGTTATTAACGCCACATACGAGGCGCCGGACATCGACATCAAAGGCATATCGTATATGAGAGTATTAGCCGACGACGACCTCGAGGAAGACCTGACGCCATACTTGAACCCCGTGGCCGACAATATCGAGCGTATGGCCAGAGAGGGTCGCAATACTGTGGTGCATTGCGTGGCCGGTGTCTCCCGATCGACGGCACTGGTGTTGGCATATCTCATGAAGTATAAGGATATGTCACTGAAACAGGCCTTCAGACACGTGTTCGACAGACGCAAAGTCGTCAAACCGATCAAAGGTTTCTATAAACAGCTGATCGCCTACGAGAAGAAGATTCGCGGAAACAATAGCTGCCAACTCATCACTTATAAGAGCCACAAATACGGCGTGTCTGTAGTGGTGCCCGACTTCTACCCCAAACACTACCCGCAGCTCTTGAATCTGGAACTGGAGTTAGAGAGACAGAGACAGTCGGACAGTATGGCTAACGTTAGCTCCAAAATGGAGAGCGATATTAGTTCTTATATCGACGAAAGTGACTCCCAATAGGTCCAGTAGTGTCCGGGTCTCACAANNTCTCTCTCTCTCTCTCTCTCTCTCTCTCTCTCTCTCTCTCTCTCTCTCTCTCTCTCTCTCTCTCTCTCTCCGAGTAATGCATTGCGTTGAGCCCATATCTTGTGTGTAAAGTGAGTACAAACTAGACTTGAAATCTTAGAAGACATTTAGATTCCTACCCAAACCATATTACTTTTCATAGTAGGAGTTCCTCCTATACTCGTGTATCCCAGGATATCATTAAGTAATTAAATTGTTTGGAATATTATTTCTATATTTATATCTTATGTTTGAACATTTATAGCATCACAGATACATTAGTAATATATTGGTCGACAATACAGAATTTGACGGGAAATGGATGTGAATGAGTGTCTAGTGTTAGAGTATTTGGTGCAGTCTTTTAGGCGCCGATTCCAATCAATTCTGCTTTGAATTCATTCAAGAAATATAAGTTAAATGTAGAGTAAAAATGATGAGAGAATTAATTCTCATTTATATATGTTTTCCCATTGTATTGTAGACATAGATATATAAAAATTATTTCCATATTAAAAAAATATTACATATGTTTTAATATTAAACGAGAATATTGATTTGATAATTGTTTCTATACTTTACTTTTATTGTACAAACAAAATACTTTTAACTAAAATATTTTATTTATTTTTATCTATTTTTGTTTGTTTTGATATTCAAAGTAAAATTATTGAAAATAAAATTGATTTTTGGGACATTATATAAAATAACAATAGCTCACAAAAATATGAGTTTAATATTTTTATAGTTTTAATTTAAGAGATGAATGCCTTATAAAACAGTTTATTTTTAAAATCTTTACTATAAAGAGTATATTCTGCAAATTAATGCAATTTTAACATTGTAGTAATTGACCAAGATCAACTTTCAACATATTTAAATATTTATAACTTAGTTATTATACTGGGAAATAATTTATTAAAATTCTAGCAAACTATACATGCATTTATAGCAATTATGCTGAATATTTTACGTGAAACCTTTCAGAAAACAAATTATTGCTAAATCTCTAGATAACTAAAATAATTCCCACAGTTTTATTTTTCTTACATAAAATACAATTCATACTTTTATTAAACATTAACTACTTATGATATACTTATGACATGTTCAAATAATTATTCTATGCCTACACTCTTACCCATATCCCACAAAAACATCCCACACACATTATTGCTGTAGAAATGCTATTAGAAAATTACAACTTTATAGGTCTATTAATTTATTTTAAATCAACAAATCGTAATTTTATACTAAATATGATTTAACTTAAATTTATTGGGACATACAATTGCATACCGGTATCATATATGATTTAAAATTAACATTTAATATAGAAATACATGCACATGTAGACTCTACATGTAGACATTGGTTTCTATTATGTGATACAAAACAAATGTTTGATTAAAAACATTATTTGATTTAAAAATACTAAATATTAACTAATTTATTCATTAATCTCTGAATCAATGGTATAATAGCTATGGTATGTTAGGTTAGGTTAGGTTGGGTTAGAAAAACTTATGAATTCCTGTATGATGGCACATACTTAGTGTACGGCCCACACACACACATAGCACTTGTGTTGGTAGCCATGGGAACGACAAACAGGTATTGACTTCCCTTTCCTCTGTGGCTGAAGTGATCAGCAAAGCGTGTGTTTCACTAAATCATCACTTAATTGGTCCCAAATCAGTGACACTGACCGGCAGTCACACAACACATCGACAGAATGGGTGCCTATAAGTACATCCAAGAGATCTGGCGGCACAAGCAGTCGGATGTGATGCGATTCCTCCTACGGCTGAGGTGTTGGCAATACAGACAGCTTAATGTCATCCATCGGTGTCCCCGTCCGACCCGCACAGAGAAGGCCAGACGTCTTGGATATCGAG